TTGGGGCAGCTTACAACAGTTAAAAACACCAATACATATATCAATTCCAGGCCCCCGAGCCCCTCCCACCCTGGAAATAGCTACGGTGGGGGGGTATTCACGGTTTTTCACATTCGCAGGGGTCTTGTTCCCTTAACCCCCGTGAATGTGGAGGGATGACTGTATAGGATTTGAATTCTGTAGTTTGTCATACAGCCATTCATGCAGATTAGGAAATATATAATTGAGATAGAGGATGTTATCTAAAAAATACATATCGATAGAGGAAGTTATCTTTTGTCCCACTTTTTTCTTGTTCATGGTCAACATGTTGGTGTCCTACTAGTACATATGTAGAATCATAGAATCATAGAGTTGGAAGAGACCACAAGGGCCATCCAGTCCAATTCCTTGCCATGGAGGAACTCAAAAATCCACAGTGAAACATGTTAGGCTAAACTGGGGAACAGAACTCTTTAATTTGTCCTGTTATTTTAGGGAGGCATTTAGTTGTCATCTGAAGCATCCTCTGCAGTAGTCCCGGTGTCAGGATTTAGCATGGAATAAGGAAACTTTGACCTTCCAGATGTCCTAAATTTTAGCTTCTAGAAGCCTCAGATACTGTCCAATGATAAGGAATTTTGAGAGTTAAAGTCCCAAATATCTGGAGTGACAAATATTCCCTAGTTTTATTTTAACACATGGGTGCACTGAAAATGGCAGAACTACAGTCTGTTTGGCAGACTATAATATGAAGTCTGTGTTTTATTAACTTTTCTTCTTTCAATTCTGAAGAATTTTTCCCTTTTTTCCTTCTACAATTTTCTGTGTAAATTGATGATAGAGATTTGTTCCACCACTAGAGAAAACTCTTCCATTTTATGTCATTTAAATGTATGCTTGGGCATATTATAGATTTTTTTTAATAGCATGCAGTCCATTTCAAATGTGTTGTAGTATTTTCAGATGGGCAAGAGTAGTCACGTTGCAAGCAGTTGGTCTAATGAGAGTCATGGGAAAACAAATGACATGGTGGTGGCTGCTGTGCTCTTTTTATAACTGTGCCCGGAAGGCTATGGGGGGGTCAATCTTTTTCTGGGCAGAAAATGACTATGCATGGATTTGTCAAAAAAAAAAGCAGAAATAGAATTCTTTCATCAACCCCCCTCTTTGTTGCTTTACTTTCATACTAACCTCTGCTGAAAAATTGCTACAGTTGGAGAGGAAGCAGTTGTGACGGTAATGTAGCAAAATTGATAATGGCCCTAAAGAACTTAGAGAATGGAGGCTTGTGTTAGAAAGCCACAATATGAAAAAAAAAATCAATGCGGTTGGAGCAGTAGGATTATGCATTCTTGCTATAGCCCAACTTGGAGTTAGTCATGATGTGAAACTCATGTATAGACCAGTATGCACATACCTGAATAAAGTGTGTGATTTCATAGGGTTTCCTTAGTCAAGGAACACTGAGAGGTGGTTTTGCTAGTTCCTTCCTCTGAAATGTAGCATTCAGCACCTGGCATTCTTTGGTGGTCTCCCATTCAAGTGCTAACCAGGGCTGACCTTGGTTAGCTTCCAAAATCAGATGAGATCTGGTGTTTTTACAGTAACTGTCCCCTCCTCTATTTTTGTTTCCTGTGCAAAAGTCATGGTTTTACAGGCCTGATGTTTTATGCTATATACATTATGACTGACACCTAAAGATACCCAAGGTAAAACTGAAGGCTATAATTTCAACACCTAATGTATTTTGTCTCCAGTAATTCTTATTGACATGTGAAAAAAGTTTTATGGGTCACCTTTGGTGTTGCTCTTTTCAGTCTGAAAAAATTCTCCATCTTTTACTTTGAGGTTGCTTTTCAAAACATTGTTTATTATTTTTGTGCAATATACATGCTTGAGTTAGTAGAGTCCAAAAAATAAAACTGAAATAGAATCTGCTCTGAGGTCTACATCTTTATCAGCTTACTTCTAAAGACTATACCTCTGCAGATATTTTTATGACGAAAAATACTATGTGAGAGTGTTTGTACCTAAATTATCTTCAGGAGACAACAATATGTTGCAGACAGATAGGCATTTAAATCTAAGTTCAGAAGCAGATACTGGTTGATTGCAGAAGTTTATACATGGGTAAAGAGGTATGAGGATAGCAACTCCCCTGAACAGATAGTGTGTTGTCATTCATAAGTGGTCATATTTTAACTTTAGGGAATATAACAAAGTTTGTGTTCATTTATTTTTAAGTGTGTTTGTTGTTTTTGTTTTTTTGCAGCTCCCCTATACACTATAAAAATCTCTTTGGCATTGGGGAATCCTTAGGAGTGGTTTAGGGATCTTCAAGTGAAAGGAAAGTTTGTTCTTGTTGTGTGCCTTCAAGTTGTTTCTGACTTATGGAGATCCTAAGGTGAACCTATCGCAGAGTTTTCTTGGCAAGATTTATTAATCGGGGATTTGCCTTTGCCTTCCTCTGAGGCTGAGAGAATGTGATTCACCTAAGGTCACCCAGTGGATATCCATGGCTGAGTGAGGACTTGAACCCTGGTTTCCAGAGTCCTAGTCCAACACTCAAACCACTATGCCACACTGGCTCTCTGAAAGGAGAGTCACTGGTGGAAATTGTCCTCCACCCCCTTTACAGAAGGATAGGATCCACATCAACCTTTTGCATTTTAGAGAGCTGGAACAGTGGACCTCTCTTTGTACTTTGGAAAGGGATCCTTGAGGCTAATTACATAAAATTATGTACAGAGCTGCTTGGGGGGAGGTGAGGTTGAATGCAAAAGTGCTGACAAAGGAAGGACGGGAATGTTCTTTATTTAAAGCATATCAGGAAGTAAAAGCTGCTGGAGAAGTTGACCTGAAGTAGCCCAAAAGTGAGTGGGTGAGGGGTGACGTGTCCTCCTCCATCTATTTCTTCCAGAGGGGTCTGAATTCTTTCCTCCACAATAACTTAACTTGTAATTTGTTTTTTAAAAAAAGTTACATTGTATGTCAACAAATTAAATGAAGTCTACTTGCTCTACTTGTGGATGTCTCCACATATTGAACAGTAGTGATGTACACTCAACCTGTGTGGTGTCTGCAGAGAAACTGCTCACATTTCTGTATGGCATGTTTTAATGCCTTACTGGCTAGGACTGATTGAAGTTGTAATCTACAGCATCTAGAGGGTACCATGTTGTGGAAGACTGAGTCCTGTTGCACTGTTATATACTGTTCCATTGTACCTGTGGAGATCTAATGATCTGCTACCCAAAGAACAGTTTACACTTACATGGCAGGATTTTCGCAGCCATATTAAGCAGTTACTGCCATGTTTTGAACTTAATCTGCACAATTGCTTTGTATCCCATCTTTCCTCCTCCAGACTCAGCCATTTGCTTTCTTCTCTCTTTATAAATTACATCTTCTTTCCACTCCCACTCTCCTCACCTCCGCATGCCTAGAGTATAGAAGAGAAGTTTGAGTGGGTTATTATTTTTATGTTACGATTTTTAGTGTTTTTATTACAAAATATGAGAAACAGGCAGTTTTATGAAAAAGCATGAACTAAAGTGTACCGGGGGAAATTGTTAAATGTGACTAGGCAACATTAAAAATAATCAGCTTGACCTTTGGATAATGCTTTCATGCCAATTCAGACATAATTAGAAACTATGGCTTCTCACTGTGAGAGCAAAACTATAGTAGTCCCAGGATCAAATTCTTTTCATTTTCTCTGCAGAGGGAAATCCTTGTTTGTTTTAACAGTTTTTGTGTTTTAATATTTCATGTGAGCCTTGATTTAAAAATAGAAATGGCTACTATTATTACTATTAACTTTAATTAGAAGTAGTCGGTCATCATCATCATCATCACCATTTAAATCCCAACTGTTCCCCAAGACTGGGACTCAAAGGAGCTTACATATTTTTAAAAATCACAATTAAAAACATACAAAAAGTCAACATTAAAACTATTAACTTCCTTAAAAACATACACTTTTAAAATATTTTTTTAAAAAATTAATCAATACAGTTTAAAACAATACAGCTCTTAGAACGCTTTCCTTTAAAAACTTCCTTTAGAAAGTCTCTAGATAATTTTAAAAAGTCATCACCTGTCAGTGAACAGCAAAGAAACAGCCATTCTAGCTTCCCTAGGGTGGGAGTTCAAAAGTCTGGGACAGTCACTGGGAAGGCCCTCTCTTGTGTTCCCATCATTCATACATGTGAAAGTAGTACAACTGAGAGAAGGGCCTCAGGGTATTAGTATGCTGATATGGGTAAATAAGATCTGTCACATAGCATGGAGCTAAGCCATATAGGGCTTTCAGTCTCCTCTGACATAAAAAAAGGAAGGCACACAGGAGCATACAGTGCATTAAAACTTGTTCATTTTAGCAACAAGCCATCATTTCCTGTTTGTTCTAAACCAGTCCTCCTTAGTGTTCAAAATGCATGTCTACTTATTGCAATCAATTTTTATATGTTTATGTTTCCTTTCAGTAATTGCCTGAGCATCTTGCAACAGACTAAAAAAAAGAGACTACACATTTATCACTGCCACTACTGTGTTAATGTTCACGTGCACATCATGCACTAGGGGACAGCAGATCCCCCCACAACCTAATAATACTGGAATAGTAGTGGATGTCTTGCATTGAATAAATTAAAACATGGAATGAAAGTTTCAAAAAGATAATGTGTTCTGTTTAGATGGTTTATAGACTATGAAAGTGATAAGATGGAAATGAATTCTGTCAGTAAAGCTTGATTGGGCTATTGAATTGACTGAGCAACTGAGTATGGTGTGGCTTAGGATAATGACATTTTTATAGGTGTCCTCTTAGTTGTAATGCATTTTTTTAAATATAGGCCAGTATCTGATGGGGTAGATCTATGGATGGAATTGCAATTGCCAGCAGCATTAGGAAGGATACCCTATGTACCTCCAAAATCTGCTCCCAAGGGATGAAAAATGGGCGTTGCTGAGGGCTGCAGGGAGAGAGAAAGAGGAAGAAAATACCATGACCTTGATAGTTGAATGTCGTGGCATTTTAGGCTCCGGAGGTTTAGAGATTTAGACCTTGTCTGCGTAGGCCAAAAAGCCAAAAAAGCCCACCCTTGTGGTATTGTCCTGTTCAGACAACACATGGCTTAAACCTCAGTTCTGGGGTTGGCAGAAACAGGGCAGAAACAGGGCAAAAGTACCTGTTGCTCCAGATCTTCCAGAGTGCTCCATTTCTGTACTGTGATGACTGTCTGCATATGCTTCTTGCTGGCCACTTGACTTGTCCACCATATATCACTTGCTTTTAAGATCAGAATGAGGTGCCCAGCATGTGACCATCACTGAATGTCTCGTTCTGACCTCAGAAGCAAGCAACTCACAGCAGCGGGAGAGACACTGGGTGGCTCAGCAGGATGCCTGTGCAGACAACCACTGTGGCTCAGAAATGGAGGCCAAGGTAACAGAGGCAGAATGGGGCAGATGCAGTTCCAGGATACTCTGGGCTACTCCTGAAGTATTCTGACCTGTGCAGACAAACAACAAACCCAAAATATGGCACAGTTAGCTTAAACCAAAGCTATACTGGTGCTTCAGTGTGAGAGCATCAGCATTTCCTTTTACTTCCTCCAGAACAACCCAAAATCTGACTCCATGCAGGGGTAGGCAACCTTTCCCCTTTAAGGGCCGAGGGACTTCAGCTCCCAGAATCCCACGAGCTATTGGCCAACATGGGACTATTGGCCAACATGGCTGAGGCTTCTGGGAGCTGAAGTCCATCGGCCCTTAAAGGGGAAAGGTTGCCTACCCCGCCCTAAAGTTTCTCAGTCCTCAAAAGCAGGTTTAAGGGATACAAAGATACTTGTAGGAGCTTCTTCTGGATTTTGCTGATCCATGATCCTGCCTAAATTACAGCATTCAGTTGTCCTTCCGTTTTTGTGGACTTGAAGTCTGCGACCCTTGCTTATCTACGAGGGATGAACAGAGGAGTACAAAATGGGGTGCACGCCCACAACATGCGCCTGCTCACCCCTGCAGACACGCACCTCCATTCAAGCCAATAGAGCTTAAATATTTGCATTTTTTCTTTTTTGCAGGGGTCCAGAGCGAATCCCCCATGAAAAAGGAAGGGTGACTGTGTTTTCAAATTTTTAGTTTCAAGAAAATTCATAATAAGGATCTTTGCTATTCTGTAGTTTCAGTATTGTGAATTGGTGTGTTTACTTTTGCACAGTCCTACTTATAATATCATTCAGAAATATTTCAGCTATCTTAAATTCTGGCTAAAATGAAGACTTTTAGAATTGTATGGTTTTTTTGTAGCCAGCTTGCAAATATAGTATGTTTATGTGAGTTGTTATGTGTTTCCAGCCTGACAGACCTGAGGCTGCCAGAAGATGTGCCGTGGAAAGCTGAGCATGCAGTATTAATGTGCTGCTGAATTGACTTTATAGTAGGAGAGCATGCCATACCAAATTTATGGGTGGGTTTCCTTGTGTTTACTCCTGGCTCTTTCATCAGAATAATTGGTTACTTTGGAATACATTTTACTCCTGTTTGGATTGTTTAACAGGTTGTAGTACATGAAACTGAAATTGGAAGGTGCAGTCTTATATATGTACCTTTGCTCTTTATTTTTTAAATTTATAAATTCTACTTCTGTTTTTTAAAGTTACCACTAGGAGTTTTCAAATTTCTGTTTTCTTTCATTAAATATGCCCAATATTCTAGTTTGTACTTACAGTTTTAAAAGTTCACAAACTACAGCTTTATTTGAGCTAAATTCATACTGTTCTGGAATTCATGATAACCATGCCCCACATTACCAAATGTTTGCCATACAGTTGCTAAGTTTGTATATTACAAAGAGCCTTTGCAGACTGCCAGAAATAGTGCAAACTGAGTCCTCTTTAAGGGTTAGGGTTAGTGCTACAGAATCATGGGAATGGTTTTTTTTTTTTTTCTGAGACATTGAGCCTTCTCTGTCAGAGAGCTCTTGGTGCCACAATAAAATACAGTTCCCATGATTCCCTAACCCTAACCCTTAAAGTGGACTCAATCTGCACTATTTCTAGCAGTCTGCAAAGGCCCAAAGTCAGCTGGCATCTGAGGGAGAATTGACTTTATACCATTGGTAGTCAAACCTTTCACCCTTGGTACTCCCTTTTACATCTACATGCAGACATTGTCGTCATCCCCAACTCAACATAGTATATGAATAAAAATATTTTGTTTATTTAGTATGTGTATTTTAATTCACACATTCATATATATTAATATTTTAACATGTTATAAGGAAATAATATTCAAATTAGAACAGTTTTAATTATTCAGATTCAATATTTATCTCAATGGATGTGTAAATTTTACACATTTTTTTTTTTTAAAAGAAGGAAGAGGAGGAAGGACCTTGGAGCAACTCTCATGCTCTGCTGGCTGTCCTATCCCACCATTTGAGAACTACTGCCTTAAACAAATTACCTACAGACTTGATGGACATATTTGTAAGCCCTAGAGAGAGATCTTGATAGTTTTGTCTTTTCATTAATGAGGTATTGTGGTGGTACATGCTGACCTATAATCAATCCTACTGCAAGTA